TTCCCTCCCACCAACCCCAAATGTGGTATAAAGTTTAAGTCTGCAGTGTGCTTTTAACTTACCAGGGTCTCTCCATGCCCTACACCTTGAGTTGGCAGCATATCTGAACTATGAGGTGTCCAGGATGTTTCAGGTTATCTGTTGCTGTATTTCAAAGCTGAACTAAGTCACAGCCTCGTGGTGAGATTGCTGAATGACATGTTTGTACTTAGGACGGTTTCATGAAAGAACCCCAGAGGAAACAGCCAGGAACACACACAGAGTAATAACCCCTCCAGAGAAAAGCTCGTGTTTCTTTTCCTCTTCCTATGGTACCGCTTGTCCTTGGTGTGTTTAAAGGCATACCTGGCACAGAAAGCACAAATTAATGAAGGGAGACTTTTTTTTTTAAAGCAAGGGCAGATGATGATGAATTCTAATACAAACTTTATCTTTCTGTCTTCCTTGGGGTTTTCTTTAGCATCTGTTGCTATAGTATTTAGGGGTTTAGCTTGATTAATTAGCCCAGCGCTTCAAGTGGAACAGGGATTGATAGCTGGAGTTCTTCTGTAGTAGCGTGGGGTCTGAGCTGCAACATATCATCTTCAGCTTAGCATCTGGAAGCCTCTGAAGTTTTCATGGAAGAATGCTTTACAGTGCCCCTTTCTTGCCAAGACCCATTGGAAGTTTCAGTTCTGACAGACAAGTTGGTTAAGCTGAACCCAAATGATCTGTCTCCTTACCTAGTTTCGCAGACCCAGGCTGAGATGGACACTTCCAAAACACTCACATGGAAGTTGCTTTATTACTTTGCCCAGTTTAATTCTCTTGGACTTTCTAGTCTCTGTTTTCCTAAGGGAAATATAGGCTGGATTTCCCAACAGTGATGTCTATTATGCAATGGGATGATTTCCCTAAGGGAGCCTGACTGTGAATCATTTAAAACTGGATTGGACAAGGTGCTGGCTGGCAAATATACAGTACTGTACACGCCGGAGACAGCAAGTTCCAGGCACTGGACTAATAGGAACCCTGGACTCTAGTCCCAGCTCTGCCACTGCTTGGCTGTGATCTTGGGTGTTGTCGCTCACGAAAGCTTATGCTCAAATAAATTTGTTAGTCTCTAAGGTGCCACAAGTACTCCTTTTCTTTTGCGAATACAGACTAACACGGCTGCTACTCTGAAACCTGGATAAATCATGTGGTTTCTCTGTGACTCAGTTTCCCCATTTGTACAACAGGGCTAGCAGTGTTCACCTACTTTTGTAAAGTGCTTTGAGATCTCCTGATGCACTAGGAGCGTTAAGACCAACACTTCCAAACTTGGGTGTCCAAAATAAGGCAGGTACATCTTATTGATACACCTGCCTAAATGGCCTGACTTCCAGAGATGCTGAGCACATGCTGCTTAGCACCTCTGAAAACTAGGCAACTTATTTAGGTGCCTAATTATGGATTTAGGCACCTAACTCTAAGGACTCGAGTTTGAAAATTAACCATTGGAGTTTGGGGGTGGGGGGAGTGTCAGCCATTATTAGCAGGTGCCCACGTCTGAGAGGACTCTCTGTGATTTCATCTTGCTTGTAGGATTTCCACATTCAGAACGTGTGGCTGGCATGGCACTCTGGAATGAGCTGTTCAGTTTCATTACACTTCATCGTTGACATTACAATACAATAGAAACGGTGACTGCTCTGATAGATGAGTTTAAAATGCTGCTGGCACCCCCACTGACCCCAGCATAGAAGGATATTTACATCCTGGGTCTCGGGGTTCCTATACCTTTGCAAGAACCTAGCCACATCTCTTCTTGAATGGGGCTCGTCCAGCTTGCACAGCAGCTGAAATCGCCGTGGCTCGTAATTCAGCAGCGCCAGATGCCAAGTTCCCCTGGAATGTGAGGCCAGCATCGGTGGAATGATTACTGTCCCCATTAAAAGAGGAGATTTTCTAAAAGATCTACTCCAGAAATTATTTTGGGGAAATTCTCCAGCCTGTGTTCTACAGGAGGTCAGACTAGATGATCACAATGGTCCCTTCTGGCCGCGGAGTCTAGGAATCTATGAATAGCTGGTACTGCTCAGAATAAGGTACGGGCTCTGTTTTTCGTTGCCCTGCCTAGGACACTGCATTGTAGACTGCACTGTGCTGATGGTTAGTTACATGGGCTAACAAAACAGCACTTCTGCACTCCAGCTGTCCATACCACCACCAGGATGCAATTTGGCAGCCGCCCTTTGACCTCTGCACCAGAATCAAAACAGTCTTCAAGGCTGGGAATTGTTTCAAATCCAACCCCAGACCTGGATTTGAATTGTGCAGCTGGCTTTTATAATGGATGGCAGATGAGTGGCCAGCTCATGGCGCCCTCTGGTGGCCTCAGGGCAACCACGCATGCAGTGCTGCCCCTGAGTTTCCCTTCTTGGATCCCCAGATAAACACCTCACAGGGTTTTTCCAGTCCTACCGCAACAGCCCTCCTTAGGGGCTGATCTATTAACTTAACATTCAAAACTAAACACAAAAGTCTCCCCCTGCAGCCTTCAGCCAGGGACAGCCCAAACTCCCCTGGCCTGGTCAGAGCCCTCCCTGACTTAACTGACAACTGAATTCCAGCCCTTCCGAGTGGGAACAATTCCCCTGGTCTCAGGATCTTCCTTGCAGGATCCTCTCTCACCCTTTGCAGTCTCACTACAACCACCTGAACTTCCCAACCTCTGCTCTTTATAGGGAATGGCTGATTCTCCTCAGGAGGGGTCATTCTGTCCACAGGGTTGCCTTTGTCCCAAACTCTCCAGCCCAAGGTCAAGCCACCTTGTTCCATGAACCAAACGTCCTTGAATTGGGGGGCGGGGGAATTGAAACATAGGGCGGGGTGTAGAGTCAGAGGTTGGAACCCATCTTGGCTTACACCTGGCGTCCAGATGTGAGAACATGCCTTGAGAGTGACTTATTCTGGTGTCTCCATCTGGGATTGGCAGGGCTGAGGATCACATGAAGGAGCCTCGTCTCTTGAGATTCTCCAGGTTCAAGATGTTCAGATCGTTCAAAGGGCCATGCAAGTGTTGGGCTGCTTCACTTTATTCCAGACTGCACATGTTGTTTGCTCAGATGCTGGGTCAGACCCAACCAATTAGTGTAATCCTCCTCCACCTCCTGGCTGGGCTTGCAGAATGGGGAGGGTAACTCAAGGAAAATGGGTCTGGTGTCAGGAGAGGATGTATCTCGGTATGACACCACGCTGGGGCCAAGCTGCTACCACACAAACTCGAGAAGCTCAGCATGTAACACTGACCTCTCCGCATGCTGAATATAGATCTCTTTCTTACCACTCTGCTTGCCTGCCGCATCATTTATTGCTACTGAAACAAGTGCTGCATTTGGCAGCTGGATGAGGCTTGTTGGCCTTCCTAGGCAGCGACAGCCAAAAGGGAAGGTGGTTGACGCTGACAGAGTCCAGCCAGACTTCTCCTGGTTGGAAGGCAGCGTGTGAAGCTAATTTATATGTTGTGGGACTTGGAATAATCGGAACGGAGGTTTAAGATAACAGTTCGATAAAATATCCGAGGCTGGTGCTAATTATGTGTGAAAATGCTAACAAGCTGCTGTATTGCTGACTCAGAAACAAACCTTCTGAACCTGTGTGAGGTAAATACAAACGCATCCTTGCTGCTGCTTTTGATTTTTGGAAGGCGTTTGGCGGGGAGGAAGGGACTGATGCAAAGCCAAGCCAAACTGGATTTTTGCGAAATCATGCAGCAGAAACTAATGAACCAACATGGTAAATGCCCTCAAACAAAGAGCACCTGTAATCTCCAGGTAAGAGCATCTGTAAATAACTGGCTGCTTAGAGGCCGGTGGCTCTTTTAAGCGTGTGGGAATGCTGAGGATAGGAACAGCGAGTGAGTGGCAAAGAGACACTCAGAACCAAATGTAAGGAGTATTTAGACCATGATTCATCATCAGGTTCAGTTCTTTCTCTCTCGCTCCCTCTCTCTCATGGGTCAGGGCAGAACTACAGGAGAAGTGCAGAGGACTCTAGGATTTCTTCTTAAAGTAAAACTTAGTCTGTTTGACACTCATAAAAGCACTTCCTAGCAATGCCACCGGGGCCCCCTTCAGGCATTGATAACTCATGCAGAGATCGGCATTCTACCACTTTGGCAATGAGCTTTCTCTTCATGGGGCCTTTTCGCCTGAGAAACTGGACATTAGGCTGTATGGCTTCTGGGGCTGGTTTGCCCAGTGTGGCCCAGTGGTTTGAGCACAGGAATTTGTGAGTGCAAATCCCAGCCTTGACACTAACCCTCCGGATGACCTTGGATGAGGCACTTAATTTCTGTGTGACTCAGTTTCTCCATCTGCACAATGCTTTCCAGGTAGTGTGGTCAGAGTTACTGACTTTTAGAAAGTGCATTGACACTTATAGTTGGCCTGAGTGCTAAGAATTATGACAGTACAAAAGTCCTTGGATAACTTTGTCCCTATCTTGCCTCCACACTTCATGAGAGTGTTTAAATTTAAACTAGCACAATGATATTGCACGTCAATGTAAGCCTTGTTCCCTGAAGCATAAGGAGCTCTCTGCTCCCCATCTGTTGGTGAATAACAGTAAGAAGGGGCACAGAGTTACTTCATCTTCATAAGCTATTTACCCGGAACTCCAGATAGACAAACTCCAGAGGGAAGGAGCTCGCTGTCCCCCTCTACTGATGAATGGGGGGAAATTTTCTACAAAGAGAGCTTCATTTGCATATGCTTTCTATCCAGAATTCCTCCAGTGACACTTTGGGAGTCACCCTAACTGTACACAAACTCAGAATTGGTTGGGTAAGGGAAGTGACCTAACTGAAGAAAAGAAAAAGGCTTCTGATATACAATAAGGAGTGTAATAGATGTTTGTGGCAATGACTTCTACTATGTGCTACTCTTCCACTAAAGAAAGCTGAAATCACTATCACTAGTTTACATGGTGGAGCCTCCAGACAGGACTAGGCAGTGCTTCCCGAAGGACTGGAGAGCAACCTGTCTGAGCCACCGTAGGACTATGCTACCCACTGATATCAAACTGTGAGTGGGGTTTAACGGAAGGGAAGTGACATGGTAAAGAGATTTTTGTCTATTGGATATTTGCACTGGTAGGAGGGGAGCTGAGTTAATAGACTCCTGCCAGAGTTCCTGTGGGGGAGTGTTTTATTTATCATTTGTATTGATAGACTGTTGCTGGGTCTTTCCAAGTTGATGCTGTGTTCCTCTCCAGGAAATTCTCCTTGTTCCAGACTCACTGCTCATTAGTGGGGAAGTATTGCCTCTTAAGGGCTGTCTGGGAGGATATTTAGTGGGGCCTAGCTGGGGTCTCCAACTGGGGCATATGACATTATCGGGGTTCAAATCCAGACTGGTGAGGGATTGTGTCACTGCTTGCCTGGGCGCCTTACAGTCCTTTGCTGCTGGAGCTTCCTCCTGAGATGCTCACAACCAGTCTACACAAGCATGCAGGTCACACCCTGAGTGTCTGTGAGCTAGATAGCCCTAGTTCAGCAGCTTGGACCCAAGTAGCCTGTCTGCAGCCCCACTATGGTTTCCACCAGCCTGGGTTACAACCAGCAGGGTGACCCCAGAATACTTCCAGCCCTGAATTTCCCCAAACTGTGTGACCTGAAGTGTCCAGCCCTCCCTTGGACAGCTCAGAGAAATCATAAGGTTCATTGCTCCTGCAAAGAGACAAAACCACATCACTACTCATTAACTAAACTGGGGTGGATACACTCTTCCCTTAAACACAGCACTGAGTTGGTTTATGGTAAAATAAAATGCATTTAATAACGATGGGACAGAGGGTAAGTGATGCCAAGTAGAAGGAATAAGGTTAGGAAGATTTATGAGTAAATAAAAGTGCCTCTAAAGGTCTAAAACTTAATCTAGCAAGATACAGGCCCGTTCAAGATGGTTTCTCTCATCAGACCACCTCCTTCCCAGCCGTGGCTCTTTCCCTCAGTCAGGACCTTCCACAGACACACAAGCTGCTGGCTTCCCTAATCTTTTTAGGTGAAAGATCTTTGCCTAAGCAGGTTTCTCAGCTACATTCAGTTCCAGAGACTTCAAAGCCCCTGCCTCGTTGGCTGAAGGACCCATCTTTCTCAGCTTACAACAGCTCTGTTCCCTAGTGTCTGTCTCACCATGGATGCCAAAGATGGCTTCTGTCTTTGCTTATATATCCCAAAGGCTCTCCTGTGTGCTTAGCTTGCTGTGTCCACCAGGAAGCTGACCTGATACTGGTCTTCCCTTCCTGTGGGTTTCCTACCCCTCTGGGTGTAAATGGGGCTTCCATTGTTTTGATCTTACCTCATGCTTAATTTACAGAGGAGGTAGGTAAATAGCTGCTCCTCTCCTGTCTGGGTGGGAGCTGTTCCTTCCTTTGTGCAGCCATGCACTTTAAAACGAAAAGGAGGACTTGTGGCACCTTAGAGACTAACCAATTTATTTGAGCATAAGCTTTCGTGAGCTACAGCTCACTTCATCGGATCCACAGTACGCATCCGATGAAGTGAGCTGTAGCTCACGAAAGCTTATGCTCAAATAAATTGGTTTGTCTCTAAGGTGCCACAAGTCCTCCTTTTCTTTTTGCGGATACAGACTAACACGGCTGTTCCTCTGAAACCTGCACTTTAAAACATAATATCAACAACTATCCAGAATTCCTCCTGGAGTGTTAATACAGACATTTCACTGTGCTATTAATCACCAGCCTGCTACAGGTGTTCATAAATGACCTTAGGTGATACACTCATGTTGTATTCAATCAGTTGGTTCAACTGCTTATTATTTGAAGTTTATACCCCACCCCTGTTTTTATAGCTTTGCTAAAGTTTCTCTTCCTTGTTGGGGTGTAGCCAAGCTGTCTCTTCCTCTCCCTTGTTAGCTTGATCGCTTTGTTTATCTGATATGTAAATGCATTCTCATTGTCTTTCAAAGCACTTTGGAAGTAACTACCTGGTGGAGAAATAAATTGGTTAGTCTCTAAGGTGCCACAAGTACTCCTTTTCTTTTTGCGAATACAGACTAACACGGCTGTTCCTCTGAAACCTATTCCTTTGTTTAGGGAGTGGGTAACTTCTGAAAGCTCATGCTCAAATAAATTGGTTAGTCTCTAAGGTGCCACAAGTACTCCTTTTCTTTTTGCAAAGACAGACTAACACGGCTGTTACTCAGAAATCTGTCTGAATGACAAACACATTTTAAGGATTATAATTTCAGCCTATGTCTATAACTTTGCATCAGTTGCTCGCACCTACATGACACAATGCTCTCCACAACCAGTGTGCTGTGGACTTTCCAGTGACTTATTACGTGGCACCTCTTACATACAGATTTAACAATAAATTGGGGTCTGCTGGGCTGGTCAGGCCGGCAGCTGAAACTCACTGCTAGAAATCAGGATGCCCCTGGTCTTTGGGCTGTATATTGTCACAGGGCATTTGTTTGTTTTAAGAGGGATCCGTAGCTATTTGAACCAGGTGCTTGCTGCTGCTAACACCTGGCAGAAGGGTCTCATAGCAAAGTGCTCATCCTGCTTGAATAGAGACTGGGAGTGACAAAGTCATTATGCAAGGTAACCTATTTCCCCTTGTTTTTTCCTACACCCCCCCCCCAGATGTTCTTGTTAAACCCTGGATTTGAGCTGGAAATGGCCCACCTTGATTATTGTACACATTGTAAGGAGAGTGATCACTTTAGATAAGCTATTACCAACAGGAGAGTGGGGTGGGGGAGAAAACCTGGATTTGTGCTGGAAATGGCCCAACTTGATTATCATACACATTGTAAGGAGAGTGATCACTTTAGATAAGCTATTACCAGCAGGAGAGTGGTGTGGGGGGAGAGAAAATCTTTTGTAGTGGTAAACACCCATTTTTTCATGCTTTGTGCGTATAAAAAGATCTTCTGTACTTTCCACAGTATGCATCCGATGAAGTGAGCTGTAGCTCACGAAAGCTCATGCTCAAATAAATTGGCTAGTCTCTAAGGTGCCACAAGTCCTCCTTTTCTTTTTGCTTTAAACAGATCTTTAAATGCTTCTGGTGTCCTGGGCTCATGCTGGAGTGGGGGGTTGAGTGCTGGCCTCTGCCCACTATGTGATTGTATCCACAGAGAATTAAGCCAAAGACAGGAGGAGCAACTGTTCCAACCGATGGTGGCATGTCCTCCCAGGCATGAATTGAAGAGTTGGAGGAGGTGGCAGGAGTATGTAATACCGTACATGCGGGTTGTGGGGAGAAATATTCCTCCCTGGCTTGTGCAGTGGTCAGTGGCTGTCTCTGTCCAGTGGCTTCCTTGATGTCTCTTTGAAATACACTCGCTGGTTCGATAGCTGTGAGGCTTAGTGCTCAGCAGGCCAAGTGGAATTTGCAGCACCAGCAGAGTCCTGCTGGATCTTTGACAGAGCCGTCAGTAATGCCGAGGCACAGAAAGGTGTGATAAAATGAGGAGACTTCTTCCCTTGTTTTTTTCCGTCTATGAAACTGCTGGAAATCATCATTCCACTGCAATTTTGTATTTTTTTATTCCTCCAAACAGTACTGGATGTTCTTCCCGTATTGATTTATTTGTGGATTACACAGTGTTCTAGGCAAAACATCAGTACGGGCCACAAAAAATGTAACACAAGAGTTCAGCTATAGCAAAACCACAGTGACCGTCTATGCTGCTAAATAATGACTAAGTGAAATAGGTGCAGCTGTGTGGTCTAGTGGTTAGTGCAGAGGCGTGGCTGTCAAGATTCTTGTGGTGTATTTCCAGCTCTTCTCTTCCTTGCTGGGTGAGCTGAGTCATGGCTGTTTACTTCTCTGTGCCTTGGTTTACCCTCTGCACACTGGACATGATATCTGGCTAGCTGACTTATTGTGAAGTGTAATTAATTGTTGCTAAAGTACTTTGAGATCTACAGATAACAGGGGCTAAATAAAGGGGAAATAGGATCTATCTTTTAAAGACAACACATTGAGATCCCAGTTTTGTGATACAGCCAGAAAAAAAAAAAATCATCCTTTTCCCTTGCGAGCGAAGCACTGTTGATTGGGAGTTGGTGCAAGGCGACATCTGTGGAACGCAATCCTGCCAGTTTTGCAGAACCCCACTGCATTTTAAACCTCAAAGTGTCTGTGTGGGGAGGGCGGGGGGGTTAGAAAGAAGGAAAAAGGGGAGACTGAATTTCATAGTCAGCAGCTGATTTGGGATTTAAACACGCCCTCATGGTGCTGTGGACTAAAACACTACAGCGCTCTGCTGGTGCACCAGAACCAGAAAGTGAACTTGAGTGTAACCTGGGAATGAAGCAGACGAGTCTATCCTTTCTGTCTAAGCTGAGTGAAATGCCCAAAGGTAATAAGTCCTATAAGGAGTGGGCAAAGGAAAATTAGATTTTGAGACATTTCCATTTTAACAATCGAATCTGTCATAGGTTGGGACAAAGGAGATGGGCCAGGAGGTGTGGGGGGAAGAAAGCGGTGGGCAGGGCACTAGCCTGGGGCTTGGCACACATGGATTCAGTTCCCTGCTTCGCCACAAACCCTGGGCAAGACATGGGACTGGATTCACCCACAGACTTTGGCGCCTAACTGCCACTTTAGGCACCTAAATCCCAGAGTCAGGCCCCACTGGGGTTCACAAAGCCCCCTTGTTACTTTTAGCCCAGTGGTGTGGGTGCTCCGCTGGAATGTGGGAGACCCCAGCTTCCAGTCCGTCCCCTCCATCTGTCTGTGTCGTCCCCCCCGGCTTTGTGAATCCCAGTGGTTTTCTCAGCCCCTGAAAGTTAGGTGTGGTGATGCTGAGCGTCACCACACCTAACCTTCTCTGTGAATCTAGCTCTTAGTCGCTTGGTGCCTCAGTTTCCCTCCTGGGCAATGGAATAATGGCCCTGCCCTGCCTCCCAGGGGTGTTTGGGAGAGTAAGTACAATAAAGATTGTGAGGCACTCAGAAAGTGTGGTGATGGGGGCCAGATAAGCACCTTAGACAGAAAAGGAAAACGAAATGTGGCCTTGATTGCAGACAGGTGGAAAGGCCCCTTGCCAAGTTAACTCGGTGGAGTGAGGAATCCAGCCCT